TGTTCAGGATATGCTCCACCTTCCTTTTTCACCTTTTCTACCTTGTGAGCCCCACCTCCAGCACAGCCCCTACATCAGAATGTATGGAACCCTTTTAGCTGGGTGCCTGTTTCTGGGAAATCTTCCCTTAAGTGTATGCAGGGATTTGGGAGATTTTCTACACTTCCTTCACCCTTTTATGAGGGGTAAGAACATCTGAGAGAGTTGAAAAGACAGGGCTCAAGCAAGGATGCAGCAGAATATTGGATAGTAGATGTAGCCCTTTAAGGGAGTAAATGTGAAAAAGAAAGAAATTAGAAGCTGATGCAGCAGTAGAAGATGCTGTTCCTGGGGAAACAGTTCGATGTTACAGCTCTGTTCTTAAGCAGCATGGACCAAGGGTCAGCAACTTATAGGCCATGGAGCGGATCTTGTCTGCAAAGAGCCTGGATCTGGCCTGGCCCATGAAGGTCTGGTCCAACCCACAAGGGGGAAGGGAGGGAGGATCAGAGATGTGCAGAGGCACGTGTACCAGCCCCTTAAAGAGTCCATGTTCTCAGGCCATCTGCTGCTGCCCCAGCACTCTCTGCCCTGTGCCAAGGATTGGTCTTTCATGCCTCCCTGCAGCTCAGCTCACCCTCACCACTAAATTAATCATTCTCCACTGGCATTGGTGGTGCTTGGTAAGTGGAGGCAGCATTGGAGGGTGTGGGAAACCAGCCCTCAGCAGGGAGGGTAGGGCAGGGAGAGCTGTTCCATAACAGTGGCCAGGTTCTAAGTGCCAGCTTGCCATCCTAAAAGGTTGCCCCTGACCTAGACTCCTTCCATTCTAACTTTCTGCATTTCTCTGTAGACTGCCTGATTATACATCCACTTTTTTTTAACCAAGTGGCACTTCCATTTCACAGGCAGACGCTCTAATTTGATGCCTGAAGATCTGACTGAGCAGTTAATGTACCAGACTCAAGAGATAATCTATCTGGTTTAACAGTTGACTCTGTAAGCAACATGCCTGATTTAATGACGTAGCTGGTTCAATAATCTGTGTCTATTCCAACAAGTGCTGTTGCTCGTTCAATGAATGATGGTTCCATAGTTGATCCCTATTTTTCAATAACGTGCATATTTGGATCTTTACATGAAATATATGCTTTGGTAGATGCTTTGCTCTTTCTCCGTTGCATGATGCTAGTGCATCATTTGCCACGCAGCAGAACTATTTAAGTGTTAGCTGTGTACATTTTACTAGTGGTCTCTTTCACAAGTTAGTTTATTGGTTTCAATGGGTACTGTAGCCACGGTCATTTGGACATCTCAGACAAATAGTTGCTTTTAGTAGTATTCTACAGGGAAGGAAAGAAAAAGTTCTTAGATGAGAAGGGTTCTAAAGTGTCTTTAAAAGGTCATTTATGTCAGTTTTCCTTAGAATATTAGAGCTAGTAGACATAATAGTTCATACACATGCAAACACAAAGCATGATTTGTCATGCATTCAGGGACAATAATTTCTGTTGCAAGATGGAAACTCACCTGTTGGAAAGGACAGATGAGGAGAAAGATTAATCAGTCACTGGATGGCTAGGAGTTACTCACATGATGTAGCCCTGAAAATCCTAGGATATAATAACAGGTACTGCAGGAGAGACAGGGCAGTAATCATTGTCATTGAACAAGGCACTGGAGAGACTTTATCTGGAATACAATTCTAGTTACCCGTGTTTAAGAAAATGTCATGCACTGAGGAACAGGTGCAGAAAAGGGCTATCAGGCTGATTAGACGAATATAGACCCTATCCTATGAAAGGAGGCTAGAAAAGGAGGCTGGATTGTCTAGCCTAGCAAAAGACTAAGAGGAGATATGATTGCTCCCTATAAATGCATTACTCCTAAGTTAGAAGACTGCTAGCCATCAGAGGAAGAAGTTCTGGAACAGCTTTCCTAGAGGTGTAGTGGGCCGGAAAAATTAACCATTTTAAGATGGAAGGGATTACATGACATGGATTCCTGTGATAGCAGAGAACTGTATTTGATGACTCAGTAGGCCCTTCCTGGTACTATATATTTCTATTAGTATAACTGCAACCAGCAGAGTATTATATGTAGCAGAATACGAAATTATATCTATTTCACTTTAAGTTTAATGCAGCTACCTAGGACCCGATCCTGCAATAGGATCTCTGTAAAATTACCAAAAGCTCAGCACATATAAACAGATTTGAGTGCAGGCTTGGGCCTTTGTTTTCAGAATATTTATGCTTGATCACCTTCATTTTTGCACAATCCAGACAGCATACACTGCAGTGTTTCCAGGTGTCTGGAAGTTCACTCTTCCCCCAACAGAAATTTGGAAACCCTTTCCAGCCCCACTTTGTGTTTTTACACTCCTCTACTGTAATATATACATCTCTTACCTGTCCAGAGCTAGCACTTCACAATGGCATGCCTCAAACTGCTGTAAATCTCTGCAATGTATTTTTCCTTTCTTTTTTGCATGGATGAGCAGTGACGTAAGTAACAATGTTGACATTCAAAGGTCCATAAGAGGGACCTGAAACAAATGAGGTAGTTTACACCATAGCACAGTTGTTTTAGATGTTTCCTGGAACCTCAAGTAGCCATCTCTGTGTCAAGAGAGACCTACTGAACTCAGGGCGGCTGCCCCCCGATTTCATGGGAAGAACGTGGGGCCTGGCAGCCATTTCACAGGTGGAGCACAGTGCCACCCAATCCTCTGATTGGCCAAGGGGCTCAAGTAGCCCTTCCCCTCACCACCGATAGGCTGCAGGCCACATGACAGACAGCCCTCGCAGCCAATCAGCAGTGGAGAGCAGGGCTGGCAGCCATCTTGCTGTCAGCCCTTCAAGTAGGCAGACCTCCCTGCTCCCCTTCCTCACCCCAGCAGGCTGCCACAGCACCCTGAAGACTCCTGGCTCCCTCTGAGGATCCAGCATTTTCTTTTCAGTATGTTTTTTTTTCCTGCGGATTTCATGGTCATTGCCTGATTTCACAGGATACGAATATTTCCTTGTCTGTGCTGAATATACCCCACCCAGAACTGCATTAAGTTTTTTTTCATAGATGCATCATAACACTGACTTATAATCATCCTGAAATCCCCTTGTGCACCCAGGTCCCTCTTTTGCTCACTTACACCCACCCTAGGAGCCTTCTACCTGACAGCTAAAGTTCTGATTAGTTCTTAAGTATGTGCATAATTTAGTAGTTGACACCATTCAACTTCACACCATTTCTAATGCTCTACTCCAGTGATTCTCAACCTTTTTCCTACCAGAACCCATTTGCAAAGATCCATGGCCTGCCCCGACCCACACCCCACTAGCCCTGATGGTGCCCGACCCCCCCACCCCCTGCCCCCTTGGGCCATGCTGGTGTCCTTCACTCCCAACCTGCAGCTCCCTGCCCCCCTCCAGCCCTGCTGAAGGGGTCC